ACACACACAAAAAACCGCGAGAGAGACATCCAAAGTAGGTCGAATAAATAATCCTCTTCTTTTCCTCTTTCTTGCTCCTTCTTCTGCTTCTTCTGCTATAACACACAGAGCTAGTTAAAAAAACCCTGGAGATCGCCCAAAAATGTTCTTTTTTTAGTATTTTAAATAAGTGCTCTTCAGCCGAGAACCAACACCCTCCCTCCAAAAAAAAATCATATATGTATAAAATAACGATAAGAAGAATACGAAGGGGTGCCTCCTCCTCCCCCACCCCCCCCTTTTTTTTTTTTAAGTTTAGCCCTCTCTTCTGCAGGAATGGAGTAAAGGAGACAAGGAGGAGGGAGAAAAAGGAGAGAAAGAAGAAGAATTCGGGGCAACAACTAATAGAATATGTAAGAAAAGAGAAAGGGGAGAGAGGGGGAGAGAAGAGAGCCAGTGAGAAAGAGAGAGAAAGAGAGTGAGAGAGAGAGGAGAGAGAGAGAGACACGCGGAGGGAGGGAGGAAGAGAGAGAGCGAGCGAGAGCAAGAGAGCAAGAGAGAGAGAGAGGGAGAGAGAGAGGGAGAGAGAGAGACCCAAAAATTGAATGCGTTTAAACGGGAGGACTCGCAGAGCAATGTTTCCGAAAGGGGGATCTGCGCGAATGTCTGTATATAGTGAACTTTGACACTACTATTGAAACTGACACGTTTCTATGGAGATCGCTGCCTTATATGGAGCTCGTGTCAAGGAGCCAAGAGAAGGGCTGCTGGCAACTGATAATCAAAGGCGACTGACTGGTCAGAGCCCTGAATGGGGGGGAGAGAAAATGGGAGGCTAAGGTTAGCCAAGCCTCCTGCACGCCATTGGTTGGAAAGCCCCTCCCCCCTCCTCTTTTTCTTTCTTTCTCTTTTTCCCCTCCCTCTCAGCTACCTACGGACGGGGTTGGCGAGGGGAGGAGGAGAGAAAGTAAGGGAGGGGGGTGTGCTTCTGACAAGCGCAATTTACATTGAGATCGCCCTTCGCTGCTATTTACTCTGAGACCTGATTAGTATGGGTCGTCTATGGTCACACACACACACACACACACACACACACACACACAGACGCATGCACACACACGAACACCAGAGGGGGAAGGGACGGCGAGAGGGAGAATGTCTTGCAAAGGGTGAAAAGACTATTAGAAAGAAATTATTTTCATTTCTTCTGAAAAGTTTTAAAAATTAGCTCTTATGAGCGTGAAGTGTCATTGAAAATGTTAGGAAAATTTTTAATGGGAAACTAGCCGTTTTAAAGATTCATGAAATAAACGGGGTTTGGATTGTTTTCTTCTTCAACATATAAGTATACTCCAAGTGTGAAATTCTGTTTATTTTATAATCTTTTAAGAAACAAAGTAGGAAATGTAGGAAATTGTTTGTTTTTTTTTTTTTGGTCCAAAGTATATCTTGGTTTTAAAGGTTTAACCACGACAAAATACACTCCTGGAATTTGAAGCTATTGCCATAAAATCAAAGCTAATCAACAGCTCCTATTTATCCCAAAGATGATTTTAAGAATAAACTTTCCAATCGATCTGATTTTTGCCCTCCCCCCTCCGCCCCGCCCCCGTGATATCTGCGGGCTGCTCCAAACTCTAAACAACACTTCGATAATTATTAATAAAATAGTAGTAAGCTCTCATTATTGTCGGTGAGGGGTGGTTAGTGTCGCCAAGTCAGTGTCCCAAGAAAAGAGGAAGGAGCAGCAGATGAGAAAGGAAGGTGACCGGAGATGGG